CTTCTTATTGGCTAACTCCTACATCTTGATTAAGCCCATTTCTATTAATCTATGTATCACCATGTGGCTGTGGCTTTCCAGCAAGATTCTAACCAGCGTCCCTCTGAGGCAGCAGATCCATGGCTTCTCCTAACTCTGCTTTCTTCCTCCCAGCATTCAGTTCTGTTTTCTCTACCTACCTAAGTTCCGCCCTATCAACTAGGCCAAGGCAGTTTCTTCATTCATTAACCAATGAAAGCAACACACAAACAGAAGGACCTCCTATACCACTCATACAAACACAGAAAAAAAAAAGAAACATCATTGATTCATTAAATTTCCTGTGTATATGTGCACATGTGAGTAAGCATGTAGTTTAATAAAGTTAATATAGAGGTTAAGCACAAGGTTAAAAGAAAGATGCTTAAGAAGAAACCAAGATGCACCCAAGAACATGCATGGTTGTGGGTTTGTTAAAGAATTGTAATGCCCTCATAAGTTTGTTGTAGGGTTCTTTTGGTGCGTGTGTATGTGTTCACAGATGGGGCCTTATGTACTTGTGTGAGCTTGTGAAGGCATCAGTATCTTATTTGTATCTCACTTTCTACTTTAGATTTTGAGGCAGGGTCTCTCACCATTGAATTTGGAGCACACTATTTTGGCTGCTTTGATTAGCCAGCTCTCAGGGTATCCCCATCACTGCCTCCTACATGCTGAATTTACCAGTGGGTCACCATGCCTACCTGACTTTTATGTGGGCCTTGGATATTGAACTCAGGTCCTCACACTTTTTGGCAAGGACTTTATCCCATTGAGCCATCTCTTTTGTACTTGTCCTTGTGTTTTATAGAATGTAAGGGAATTGCTTTCTCTGACACAGTTGTGTGTGTGAATTAGCCAGAGCAGAGCATTGAAATCTCCGTGTATACATTTGGTGTGGCTTCTTCCTTTTACAGGAAAGAGGCTTTGGGCAGGAGAGGGGACGTGTCCGTACTCACACAGTGAATTAGCTGAGATGGGACAGGACCACAGGTTCCCCTGAGCAGTAATGCCGTTTCCATCATGCTGTGGTAGTTCAGTTGGTTATTATTAGTCCACTAGAGAGCTGAGCACAGAGAGATTGAGTAAGTGACTTTGGCTGCATGGAAACCATTGGCAGAGCCAGGTGAGTTGTTTGCCACAAGTTGTCTCAGCCTGGGTGCTCTGTTGTGAGTAAGATTTTAATGAGACTGACTGGAGGTAATGATTATATCTGAGGTTTGGGGTTTCTTTCGCTTATTGCTTTTAAATCCTATATAATCTGTATACCATGATGTTAGCCCTAACCCATTGTCCCTGAACCTAGTCCAAAGAAAGTACAGCAAAGCTTCCAGCTAGCTAATACAGCAAATGGTGCTGAATTACCTTGAGTGGGAGACAGCATATTGTCATTATATTATTCGCAGTCAAGGTGGATTAGCATACTTTTTAGTTTGAATTATGACTATGTATACACCGTAGGTATTCAGTTAGTGTCTTTTAAAGCTTAATGGCATGTTTAAAAGCAAACATTAATTTAGATAGTTGCAGGCAAATCATTGTCGTCCTCCTTTGCTTAGCAGGGAGATCTGTCCTGAGAAGGACACCATCAGATGAAGTCATCATTGTACGATCACTGTGGGATGTGCTCACACAAACCCAGATGGAATAGGTCAGTCATGGGATGTGGCTTTAAGTGTAGCCTTAAGACTCAGTAAGAAGGTATAGAAGGCTGTTACTCATAGTTTTGCAATAAACTTTTCTTTTTTAAGTAAGAATAACAGAAGTAAAAAACCAGAGTATAAATGTATAAACCAGTGTTTGGTTAAAAGTGAGACCCCAGCCCTCTAACACCCCTATATTCAGAGTCTAGAACATAATACTGAGTTGGACTCCAATTCCCAGTCTGCCAGTTGCTTGGACTCCAACTCCTAGCCTGCCAAGTGCTGACCCCTCCCCAAGGAGGTCAGGACCACTCCCACAGGGTATTTAGGCTTGCACAGGAAAAAGGAACATGTGGTTCTGGTTTTGCGTGGGCTCCTCTCCCTGCCATGCTTTCTCGGTCCACCTGAGTGCCACATTTATTAAACACATTTTAATTTGTTCTAACCTGGTTTGATTGGAGTTCTTTGCGTTGGCGGAGTGGCTTTTCTTAAGATTAAACCAAACAACCAGTATCATTTCCAGGAGTATATGCTGTGCATAATTGTGTGTGATGTTCTTTCACCGAGGGGTAGTGCAGTGGACCTGTTTACACCAGGGGTCATCCTGACTTTGTTGTAACATATGACTAAGACGTTAATAGGCAACAGGCTTCTTCTCCTCTCTCAGTCATTGTTCTATTGATGGGAACAGACACCATGACCAAGGTAACTCTTAGGAAAGAAAGCATTTAATTAGGGTCTTACAGTTTCAGAGGTTTGGTCCATTGTCAGCGTAGCAGAAGCATGGCAGCATGCATGTGTGGTGCTGGAGACGTACCTGAGATTACATTCTGCTTCTCAGGCAGAGAGGACCCTGGGCTGGCATGGGCTTTTGAAACCTCAAGGTCTACTCCCAGTGACATACTTCCTCCATGTATTGCAAGCTCCAGTTGATCCAAATGTCATGCAGTATATGACTGTACTAGAAAGATGTGCAGATCTTCCTGGTAGACATGATTTACATACTGACTTCAATGCGGTTTCTGCTGTTGGCTCTGTCAGTGTCCTGTTTCATCAAATATAACATTCCCAGTGAGCTCACTACTGCTCCTAAAAGGATAAGCTTTGATGCTTGGGGGACAAAAACAAATTCCCACTCTTTCATGTGTAAGATACAACTCTATGTAGCTCTTAACCAGAGGCAGCGTATCTGTTGCATTGAATTGCACTTGGGAGAAAACAGTGCCTAAAACACTGCTGGTAGCAAGGAGCTACCATGAAGATGGCTGGAAGCACTGAGCACAAGGTCTGCCCGAGGGGAAATCCCCAGACTTCCAGGGAAGCCATAGTTTGCATTCAGCATTAAAGACCTAACCATAAATGGTCCAAGAGATGAAGTGGGCGAGACCCACACTCACCATTGAAGGCAGCTCTGGGGCTAATGGAGCCTCGTCGGCTTGCTTACCCTTTCATTGCTGTCACACCTTACACTTCCTCAGTCTGAGCTTAGGCTGCCACTCAAGGAAAGGATGTAGATACAAATCTAAGCTCCTTGCTGTGTCCCCCACGCTCCTGCCAGAGCCTGCTCTACGGCTTGAAAACCAGCCAGTTGGGTTTGACATTTATAGCTTGGTAATGCCCCTTTATTTTCACTGTCATGAAAGTAGAAACTCTGGGTCACTGCCTCATGACAAATATGACAGATGTTTTAAGTCCCCACCCCCTCTCCTTGAGTTTCCTAATAGAGTGTCTTTCAGTTTGGTTCACTGGAAAGTCATGTAGCAAAGCTCTCTGCTTAAGGTAGTGCCTTGAACTTGGGTGGTACCTAAAAGAGTTGGGTAGAAGTCTGGTACATTGTGCTCTTGGTTGACTTTATTGAGACTAACACTCATGGAGGAGAGTAGTAGTATACACAGAGTCTTTGATAGGTATCAATTTTATGTTACACAGTGTTCCTGTCCCTGGTTTAATAAGCTGGACACTGGCAAGTTCTAAGGAGGGTTTTTTCTGCACTGATGACTTCTGGGTATTATATCAAGTGGCACCATGATAGGTGAAGAGAGGGGGACGGGAACCAGAGAAGTACCATTAAACTAAACAAATGCTTGAGAGTTGTGACTCCGCACCAGTGGGCAGAGTGCAGCTGGACTTTGAGTAGTGGGTAACTACTGCATGCAGCAGTTCTCCCTTTTACCATTATAAATAAGATGAATTGGTTATCTATTAAAGTATCACCTAAATGATCATCTATTGCCCCCTCGTGTCCTGGGTAAATGATTCCATGGTGGAAGTTCCAGATTTCCAGGTCAGGCTGACCTTTGTAATTGATGAATAGAACTAAAAAAAGAAATGAGTGCCCACAACACAAGGCCCCAGTTCTCACTTCTGCCTGAAGCTATTCACTTGAGAAAGTGGATAGTTCATGCCTTTCATTTTTTTAAAAGATTATCTATTATTATTATTACTTCTAATATTAGCAACAGCTGTGTAGCTCAGGATAGCCTTGAACTTGATGCCCTTGCCTCAGCCTCCCAAGTGCTGAAATTACAGGCATGCATCACCACATCCAACTCTATATACATTTTTAAGAAGTGAAAAAATGATATTAATTTAAAAATTTGAACCTAAATCACAGAAAAATGAACCATCAAATTAGTGAGAGGAAGAATGGCCAATGAAGAGAGTTCTATACCTGTGTAACCTTGGGAAACCAGCTTTATGTTCCTGCCAGTGTCCGGTCAGGGGCAACATCCACTGAAATGGATTTCATTAAATCTCATGAAGTTGAACTGGGCTCTAATTTTTAAACTTAACCTTGAGGAACACAAGATATGACCTGAGCACTCAGAGTGTCCCCTATCTATGAACGTCATGGTCAAAAAAGAAAACAATGAGTAAGATAAACAACTGACCATCCCATATATGTAGGAAACATGATTGTGTTGTAAAAGGAGGAGCAGAGGAAATGGTGAGCCTTCCAGGTATGGCCTTCAGGAGTGTCCACACACAAAGCAACGGTAGGAGCTCGCCTCCACAGGTCTCCTTGAAGGCACTCTTCTTGACTACTTTGCATGTCCACTGCAGCTCTTTCCAAAACTGGTCACGAGCCATATAAGAAAGCCATCTCTTCATGGTCTTCCTTGCTGTTTCCCATATTTGGGTCTGAATGGCTGCCCTGATTGCAGCTCCCCTTTGAGGATTGTCGGGTGTGTGCTCCAGGCTTCAGAGACAGGACTCAGCAGGGCCTGTGCTGTGGCGAATGTTGAGCTCTCCGTCGTGAATTTGGGACTGTGTGCAGGAGTGGGAGGACATTCGGCACAGCGCTCACTAGTTTCCTTCCTGATACATAGCTCTCTACAGTGCACATACTGTTCATGGGGAGGAGAGCAAGAAAAACGTCATCTCACTTTCCCTCTGTGTCACTGACCGAGCAGAGGAGCATGTTCCTGGATCTAGCACAAGTGGAGCCACGTGCAGTGCTGAGTCTAAGTGAGCCTAAGTAAGCATTGCTGTAATAGCATATTCAGGACTTCAAGCAGTGGGCGAGTTAGAGAGAATAAATAAGGGTTTGGTTTTGTGGTGTTTTTCTATTTGTTTGTTTGTTCATTTTAATGTGCATGGTTGTTTTGCCTACATGCATGTCTATGTGCCATGTGGGTACAGAGCCCACAGAGGCCAGAAGATGGCAAAGATCCCCTGGGACTAGAGTTACAGATGACTGCGAATTACCATTAGGTGCTGAGAATTAAATCCCAGTCCTCTGGACCAGCAGCCAGTGCTCTTAACCACTGGACCATCTCCCCCACAATGTTTTTTGGGGTTTGTTTGTTTGTTTTGTTTTTGGTATCTGACCAGAAAGACTTGGAATATTCTATAATAACATAGGGTCCTTTTCCTGGTTACTGGTGACATCATTTGTGACTTTCTTAAAGGTTGTGTAACTCAGGTGGTCTGTCATGGTTTAAGATTATCAAACGGTTGCAACTTCTCTATGAACTTTTAGAAGGCCTTGCTGTGATTATAATGAACCTGGGCCTGGTTATTATCATTTACCATGTGAGGAGAGAAGACCAGGATCACACGAAAAGGAAGGTATTTTGTGCAAAGAGAAACAGAATGTAAGAACAGTGAGAACACCTTAAAATGCAGAGAATACTTGAACCTGCTGAGCTGACGCCAAATAGTTGCTGCTTTCAAGAAATAAAAACCGAAAAGTGAACACAGAAAATGTCTGACAGGGCGCGGGGATTGGGGGTATGACCAAGGAGATTCCTAACATTTGAAGAGTCTACGCTAGTAACAAATTGTGATTGTGTGTGCTTTCCATGGATGGCATGGGCATCTTCCCTCTGTAATGGAATGGAGTCAGGTGTTTTGGGGATGAATTTAGTACACAGTGGTCCCTCATTACCCATGGCTACTTGCAACAAACTACCCCAGAGGTTTTAGAAGTGAGTAGCTCTTCTTTTCCGTTTGCGTCTTTTCTGAGTGACAAGGTGGCATGTGTACTGTCCTTCTCCTCTGCCGGAGGACGTGGCTGTCCTTTGGAGCAGCCCGTCCCTCACGTTGCCACTGCCCAGCAGTTACTGAATGGCCATCCTGCTAGGTTACTGCTTAGGTTCTTCTTGCCTCTGTTCACATGATCTTTACTTTGTTAATAACGGCTTCAGAGGCAGTGCTAGTGATACTGGTTGTCTAGGCAACTGGCATGAGCTGCAGGGAAGCCATCCAGGAATTCCTAGAGGATCTTCTCACACTGTCACTAGAGGAGTGAGTTCAGTACATGGAGATATTTGGGGGGAGAGCCACTTTTCCTGCAGAACTCTTTTTTAAGGGTGTATTTGATTAATATTTTTATGTGTATGTGTTTAGGACTTAGTATATGTATATATACCATGTACATGCAGTGCCCACAGAGGTCAGAAGAGGATGCCAGATCCCTGAACCTGGACTTCACAAAGGGTTGCGAGCCACCATGTTATTGCTGGGAACCAAACTGCAGTCTTTCACAAGAGCAGCCAGTACTCTTAACTGCTGAGTCATCTCTCCAGCTCTTCAGAGAACTTTTATTATTTTAGTATTCTGCTTAAAATACTTGTTGTATTGTAGTAATTGTCTTAACTGTGTCTAACTTGTAAATTAAACCTTTTGTATATGTGTGCTTGAGTGTCCGTAACTGAAATGCTTAGGACTCAGTTTCGCAGGTTTTGTGACTTTCTGCATTTTGAAATAGTTGCACGTATGTGTGCAGGCCATCGTGCTGTTTGTCCGTGTCTTCTTATACCGTGTGCGTATGGTCTGGAGGTCGTTCGGAACAGTGATGATAAAGCGCCTGTGCCTCGGGCATTGCGCTGGTGCTCAGACGGTTTTGGGGTTTGGAGCATTTTGCATTTCTAAATTAGGGCTGCTTAACTTGTTTGGGGAAAACAGTATGGAGAGGATTTAGTCCCACAGCTGTAAGCATCTGGTGTTCTTGGTTCCTTGCTGGGCAGGGGTAGGGGTGGGAAGAGGAGAGGGTTCCTTCTTATGCTTCCTGACTAATTTCCTTTTTATAAAAACTTGCCCCTCCCACACCCCTGAAGTTCTAGAAGAATCAGATGAAGAAGTACCTTGACTCGTTCCTTCCTAGTTCAGTGTCTTTGTGCAGTCAGTGTAGCCACAGACACTAGAACTACTCTGAGCAGCAGAAGGGAAAGGTTCTTCTCAGTAGGAGTACCATTCCCATGCTAGAAACCTGGGGGGGGGGGGGGGGGGTTACTAGCAAATAAGAGAAGATTTATATAATTCTTTTCCATGAGCGTAGCATGCAGTGGGTGCACGTGGGCAGAAGTGTGAAGAACACCAAAGCAGAAAAGTCGGTGTGTCCAAGCCTTTGGAGCAACACTCCATGTAGGCACTCTGCTTTGAATAAACAAACGTGGATTCCTTTCTCAATTGTATAAATGTATGTGTCTCTGATTTCCTTAAAATGTAAGCAGGGGACACGGTGAGCCTCCGATGAGCTGACTGATCCTCTATTGTTTATCAGAAAGCACTGACACAACTCCCTCCATCTTATTCTAAACTCTTGGCTCATTCTGAACTTTTTAAGGTTTTGAAATACCAGGATTTTAAATATATATAATGTGTGTGTGTGTGTATAAAAACCAATTTTAAAAAATAAGTACGGAAGCACAGTGAATTCCAAGGCGCATGAGGACAGGGTGCAGACAATCCCTCTCAGTCACCAGATTCTGGTGACCAGCAGACCAAGGCGGGGGGGGGCGGGGGGGGGTTGTCTAGGTGGGTGGAGCCATGAGTGAAAACTAGAGTTTTGATGCTAAGCTCCGCCCCTTCCCAGTATTCTTTTCTCACAGCTTTCTCTGTTAACATCAGAGCACTGAGCATTATTTTGCTGGTTTTAAAATCGTGGCTAAATACACATAAGGTAAAACAGTCAAAATTTTAAAAAGGGATGGACATAGAAAAACCAATCAAAAGTGCCCAGAGGTTTATAGTGTGTTCTCGGTTGCTGCTCCTCTGCCTGGCTCCTGGAAGGAGCCACTGTAAAAAGAGAGACACTGGTCAAAGATGCGCCGAGCCAAGCTCATATTATGTCCTTGCATGAGTGGCAGCCTGCCAAGTTAGGGAATGCCAGGCTGTAGAGTTGGGATTTGAGACACTTCTGAATTAGATTTGAAAATTGCCCAAAGTCCAAGTTATTTCCAGTAATGAAGGGAGGGCGCTTGTGCTTGCTGTAGAGAATCTGCCGTTCATCCTAGCCACCCGGCATGTAAGTGCTCATGTGTCACTGACCAGTCCTGCATACCCACAGCTCAGAGAGAGAGCTACCTGCCCTCTGGCTTTGAAACCCTTACAGGAAGTTTGCAGGCCGCAGTCCTGCAAGCCAGAGAAAGCTCAGTGCCTGTCTGATCCTGAGTTGAGAGGAGGGGTTGAGCCTCAGAGGCCTTGAGTCTGGGGCTAGTTTTAGTATATGTTCTAGGTGATTCTTGGATCAGTTCCAGATGCTCTGCCCCAGACCTGTCTTCGCTGTGACACAAACACCGTGGGAAACCTTGAGTGCAGGTGGCTCCACAGTAGCAAGATGACAGCTGCATTAACCATCATGCCTCTTTACCCAATAGTAATGCTTTCAATCAAGCTGACTTATAAAATGTTCCTGACTTTAATCAACAGCATCTGTTAAAACATTGGTGTCGTAACCTAGAGATGGAGCCATGGAATGGCATTTGTGTGTAATAGCCTACTAGTTTGCCACGTTGGCCAGTATTTTGTTATGTAAAACAAACTCAGATCGAGAGGGTATGTGTGCCAGTCAGCTTTGTCACTGTTATAATAAAATGCCTGAGATAATCAGCTTACATGGCTGAACTTACTTTGATCCAGGGTTTCAGTCCACACTTGATCAGCCTTGTCTCCTTGGCCCTGTCACCCCACGGTACAACACGGTAGGTTTGTGTGGTAGAGATGACTATTACCTCATGGTGGCCAGGAAGCAAAAAAAGAGGCCCACATCCCAGCATCCCCTTCAAGGACATGACCCAGTCACCTTACTTCCTCCAAGTAGTCCTGCCACCTCCTTGAACACACAGGCCTTCAGGGTACATTTCAGATCCAAACTCTCTCTCCCTCTTTCTCTCTCTCCCTCTTTCTCTCTTTTTTATTGTTTTTATAAGACAGAATTTCTCGTTGTAGCCTTGCTTGTCTTGGAACTCACCTTTGTAGACCAGGCTGGCCTTGAACTCACGGAGATCCACCTGCCTCTGCCTCCCAAGTGCTGGGATTAAAGGCGTGCGCCACCTCCGCCTGACTAGACCAGCAGGGTGAGAGGTGGGATTTAGCAGAGTGAACCTTTGCTTGTCACTTCACAGTGTGAAGCCTAAGCAACAGCACTCTTGATGTCTTCTCTTCAGACAGGAGCCAAGGCTTCAGCCTCCTCAACTCGCTGGCTGGAGCAAACCGCAGCATTGGATCAGCAGAGAGCTGTCACTCAGAGGTAAAGAATTTTCCGGGTCTTTTCTCTTCTTTGACTTTAATATCTTTGTTATTATGGATCTCTACAGCCTTCATTTATTTAGTTTCTATTTAGGAGGCAGCAGAGGAGAATTCAGCAGCCATTGTGTCTGGCCCATTGAGGGGAGACTCGTCCAGCCCCCACGGCAGGCTCTCCCTCAGGGGTAGCAGGGAGAGTTTTTGCTAGAGCACTTTTCAAGTCTACAAGGGTTCCTTGCAGCGTAATATTACTTTCAGATCTTTATGTAGAAAATAAAAATGAGTCTTTTTCAGTACTTGTTTACCAAGGTCCCAAGTCAACCCTGAGTGAACTGACAGACGGTTTACACCTGTCCTCAGTAGCTCCATTCTGAGGTCCCTGGGTCAGTCAGCCCATAACATGGATCTTAAATGAGGCAAACCAAACATGTTTTAGTAGCCTGTAGTAACATTTCCCAGTTGTTCCTTGAGGGAAATAACAGTGACTTTGCAGCCTTGTGTTTGAATGTGACCTCGTTCCTATTGTCTCCTCCTTCATGTTCTGCTTTAGCTGGGGATGGGAAGAGTGAGTTCTTGGATTTTTCACTGAAATAGCTTACTGTTAAATTGTTGCTTCTGTGTATTTCCCCTCAGCAGCAGGCCCGGTTGCCAGCAGCTGAGAGGATAGAGTCCCTTCAGGGCCATCGTGGTGGTGCATGTGGCTCAGCAGGTGCACAGGTTGACAGCATTGTGGGTAAGTTCCTTCATGAGCTCCCTAGAGGTGACAGGCACCAACCAGGACAGAAAACACTGAGGGGAGAACTGACTTTAAACATGGAGGAGAAAATGAACACGAACGGCACTAGACTGGTCCACTCAGTTAGCTCCTCTTGCTTTCATTCCCATTCTGACGTTCAAATGACTGTGAAGGCCACCTGTGGCCTCTGTGCCCTAAGACTAGTATTCCCCATCCTCACTTCTGCTGAGCAGCAGCCTTCAGGACTGTGGGCGGAGCCTCACTGACAGTGTCTCCCCCTCAACTCCCCAGCAGTATCTTCTGGTTTCCCTCCTGCATGCCTTTGCAAGGTTGCTCTCCTTTCCCCAAACCGTAAATACTGCTTTCTTCAGTGCACCGTCTAAATTCCTCTTTTTAACATATTTTTAAAGCACAAAGTGACTCTCTCCTTGTCTCTATCTCAGTTACCATCTCTGTGTACAGATAAATCAGAAATGTCATCTTTGGCCTCGTGCACCAACAACCACTGAACTAAAACACACTCTGACCCCAGATGCACTTGACAAATTGGGTGACGGTGTGATAAATGAAAAGGCTGATAAATCCACTATCCCTGCCGTCAGAGTGTATGAACAGGTGTATAGAGATAGAACTTGTTACAGTCAAGGTTGTGGGCATTGGACCACCATGTAATTGGGTTCAGGTCAATGCTGTACCTCTAGTGGTGATACAGCCTCAAAGATGATTTCGCCTCAGTGATCTGAGTTTCTGCCTCTGGCAAGCAGGAGTAAGCAGTCTGCCCTCCAGGGATATTGGAAAGTGGAAGTACATCCTGGTAGGTTAAAGTCCTCCATTTTGATTAAGGGATAGCTCAGCGTGTAGTTCAGTGGAAGAGTGCTTCCCAAGCATGTGCAAGGCTCTGGGTTTGATCCCTGGTGCTAAACGGAAGCAGTGTCCTCCACCTCCTCACAGTGCAGTGAGACTGGAAAGGGGGCCCCCAGCAGCCCAGCGGGCTCCGCTGTACAATCTGTGAAGCTGGCACCACATGCCAGCGCTCTGCTGTTGCCCATGCTCACGAGGGCATGCTGACTGTACCGAGCACATACGTAAGTCATGTGTGGCCAACTCTGATTTCAGACCCCATGTTAGACTTGGATATTCAAGAATTAGCGAGTCTTACCACTGGAGGAGGAGATCTGGAGAACTTCGAGAGGCTCTTTTCAAAGTTGAAGGAAATGAAAGGTAATTGTCTCGTGTGTCCCAATCCTTTCATGCCGATGCTTTTCTAGTTTATGTGGTAGCATCTCACTCTGTAATGGCTAGATTGGATTCTGAGTTCTGGGCTTGAGAAATTTAGCTGTTTAGGAGATTGGACCATTTTATTGGTAAAAATTCCCGGGGGAAAAATTTCCTGTCTTGATTCACTTTCCTTTCCTCTTAAGTGTCTCTCTTTTCCTCAGTGAGTCTCATTATCACAGCATCTGTCAAATTCCCACCAAGTCACTCACATCCCATCTGGAAAATTTGGGAGACTCGAGCTTTCTAATGGCTGTAATGACTGTATCATGAGCATATGTCTTAGAATCTCATCTACCCTCTTCGAGTGTTAGCACACCCATGCACTCCAGATTCTCCTGCTATTAGACAAATTTCTCAAGATCTATTTTCCCCCTAGACAAGGCTGCGACACTTCCTCATGAGCAAAGAAAGTTGCACGCAGAAAAGGTAAGAAGACACAGCAGGTGTTTCTCATCTACAAAAGGTCTTACCTGTGCCGTGAGTGCTGCACTGGGTATTGTAGCCAACTGGATATTTATTTGTACAATAGTAACACAGTTGCTACAGTCAAACTGAGATATCTTTAGTATATGTTACGTGACATGGAGCCTTCTCCAAGACTTGGGATACTTGCCTTCCTATTAGGCCAGAAAACTCCTAGCTGTTTTGTTTTGTTATTACCAAAGCAACACATGCTTTTGGCAGGAAACTGACATGATTCGGACATCTCATTATATGAACTGTGTCATCATTTATTTGCCCAGCTCCGTTCCAGACATTGAGGCCAACTGCGTGCTCATGTTTTTGCTTCTGTCAGTAATGAAGCTGGGTTTATCCCCACCCTTCACATTCATGTGCAGCCCTGATCGCAGGCTTAGCCCGGGTCTAGCACAGAAGTCTGGGTCAAAGGCTGCCCAGGGATTTTAATGTGTGCTGCTGGAAACCTCAGCCAGGTCGCGTGTGGCCTATGGGGTGGGCTGAAGGTCAGCTGCTAGCCTGAAACGTGTCCCGTGCTTCACTCCACAGGTGGCCAAAGCCTTCTGGATGGCCATAGGAGGAGACCGAGACGAGATCGAAGGCCTTTCTTCCGACGAAGAGCACTAAATCCTTCCTGCTGGGTTTGCCTGGCACTGATGCCAGCACTGTGCACTCCAAGTGCTTCCCTGCTCAACCCGGTCCTGCTCTGCCAAGATCGCCGTCATCATGCTGGCCGCTTGGCTGTGTGGGGTTCCCGTAGGTGGGCTTTTAGGAAGGACATAGAGACATCTTTGTTCCTGGGTCATGAGTGAATGAGGAGTGAACTGACAGTATTGACATCTTCAGATCTGCATCTTCGGATCTCTATTCTTCGTTTTAAGAACCAGGGTAGAATGAGTCTTAGAGGTCTGTACAGGAGAGCCAGGTGTCAGCACACTGTGATCTCAGCACCTGGGGGTCAGAGGCCAACTTGGGCTCCATAAGGAGGCCTGCTTCTTTGCTGAATCGCCAGCATTCACACTGGCTGAAGGTTGGGAGTCTGTGCCGTTTCCTGTGTGTACTTCCCCTGGTCCCCACTAAGAGCCAGGCTCTGAGCTAAGGTGGATGTTGTTGAGAAAAAACGGAGGCAGCTATAGATCTAGTGTGCGCCCGGTGGGTGGGGGGACAAGTGGCTCTGGGTTTGTCTCTAAGCAAGCCCGTATGGACATTTGAAGTTCAGTGTCTGGGTTCCTGCCACAAAGAAGTAAAAGTCAGATGTCTGTGTATAAGAAACAAGCAAAGGTTTCCTTCTCTGGGGGCGGGAGGGGGGGAGGGTAAAACACCCCTCTCCCCAGCTGCAGGACAAGGGCCCTTAGTGCAGCACGGTGCTGGTTCTGAGCACACTGCTGACATGCGGGCAACGGTGCGCTCTGACCAAGTGCTGTCCCTGAATATTTGAGATTTCAGAGCTGTGCTGTCACACTTGACGCTCTGAAAGTAAGACAAGTGCTCCTTCCTTCTGTTTGGAAGCCAGAGATCACTGTCAAAGCACTTGAACGGAGCAGTGGGGGAAGGTGAGCCGTTAAACAGTCCTGAGCCACCACCATGGTTTACTCCAGGGCTGTGGGCTCCTCTGCACCTCTCCAGGGCCCGGCATCTTCTCCTTTATTGTACTTGAGTGCATCAGTGCCAGGGAAGCACAAGGCAATGTTTTAAAGAAGAGAGTAAAGTACAGCAAAGAGCCTTATTCCATCACAGACTCTTTGGGGAGGAGTTTCTGAGCAGGTGCAGCCTGTGATAGATGGTGCCCATCATGGGCTGAGAGCTGGTCCTGATTTAGCGTGGGAAACATGGGTGGGTCACAAGCAGAAACAAAGTTCACCTTCCCTGGTACCACTTACAGGACTTAAAACAGATGGTTGGCCAGGCCAGAACCACCACAGGGAGGAGACAGCATCTCAGTGATGGTAGCAATCCAGAGAACAGTGGGTGCTGGCTTGCTCTGAGTCCCTGTGCCTACCCCCTACACCGATCTTGTATCTTTGAGCTTGGGTTTACACCCTCCCTTCAGTAGGACTGAAACTTTGAAGTGAGTGCGTTAGCCTTTGGTTAAGAAGGAAAATTAGGGAAGTTGACTCTGAGTTGTCAAGAAGGCAGAACATGTTTTTCTTAAAACATGGAAGATTTTAGAAAATTTGTTAGGCTACATGATTACTAAGTAGACTAGAAAAAGCTGTATTTGATTTTGCTGACTAAACAAAGGCAGGTAATTAAAAGATGGTTTATTTATAAAGTCTCTAATGTGTATTGTTATGTTTGGGGAAGCCTGGTGTCCTCTGTAGTAGGCACACAAAGTGTCTAAAGAGTTTTGTCAATTATGTTTTAGAGTCTGCCTGTGTGTGATGTCTGCTCCTGCTTCTGAGACCTCAGCTGATCGTCAGGGATATTGGCTGAGGGTCAGAGTTGCTGCTGAGCTGATGCTGTGCTAACAGGTGCTACCTTCTGATACACCCCGTGCATGTAACTTAGATCTCCAGAGTGCGCTGGGGGTGAGAGACTGGCTTCCTGTCTTAAACTTTACCGCTGCGTTTCTAGAACAGCACTGGGTACATAGTAGGCCCACATTTTTTTGGCAGGTACGGTTTGCCTGTTAGAAGTGACCACAGAGTTTGATGAGCCATGAGTTCTGGAAACTAGAGAGAGACAAGAGTCAAATTTTTCTTCTCTGAGACAATCATGTTATGTAATAATTTCAAAGTGATGAAGGCATGGCTATTTTTGTAATTTTAAAATATGGCAGAGTATGAGAAGGTTGACAGAACCAACTGGCTTGCTCTCTATTTATAGAACTTGGCCACATCTGATCCAGAGAGACTGCAGATTGGGGGAAGCTGGGCTCATTTAGATGGCTGAGTAATGTAGGATGTGGCACAGGGATCATAGAGTACCAGGCCTTTTTGGGAACCGTTCATACATGAGGAAGGTATGTGCCCAGTGGAAGCTGGGGGAAAACATCTTTGCATCTTTGCCATGCTTTGTCATGTTCCTTGGGACCATCTTCTTAAAGTTTATTCTTATTTTGTGGGTAAAGATGCTCTGCTGTTTTGCCTGCATGTATGTCTGTATTCTGTATACTACAGGTATACAGTGCCTGTGGAGGCCAGAAGGGTGCAATGGACCATCTGGGACTGGACTTACAGATGGCTGTGAGCTGCCACGTGGGTGCTAGGAACAGAAGCCAGGTCCTCTGGAAGGGGAGCCAGTGCTCTTGGAATGGTCTCCGAACAATGACCATTGAGAGAACATGAGGTATGCCTCTTGTCCTGCTGTGGCATGCTGTAGCAAGCAGAAGGATCATGGTGGAAGGGTAAGATGTGGGCTCTGAGGACTATTTTGAGCATGGGTGTTGGCTACTGCAAACTAAATTTAACGTATCTAGAAAGGTCAGGGGTTCTGGCTCATTAGTGCTCTGCTTGAAGGAGAGCTTAAGCAAGTGTTCTGATGACCCAGATTTGCTCGTCACACGCCCATCTACTAGTATTAGATCATTATCAAATAGTACCAGAGTCCAAAGGGGAGAGAAAATGCGAATGCCTTCAACAGTATGCTGAACCGGGGATGGGCCTGAGGGCTGCTCAGTCTCTGCGCAGCTCGGCTGGTGTCTGCTCAGTGACCCACCCCACCCCTCTGGAACACACACTGAGTCTTGTGTTTCCTGCATCTGCTCTGTGTTTTTACTAGGAGTGAAGCAGGTTCCAGTGTCGAGAAGTATCTTGCTTGGTTCTGGATGGATTGTTCCTCTGATGGTGGGATGAACAGTTAACAAAAGAACCAGTGACAGTCATGGGCACCTTTCTTTAGAATGTTAGGGAGCCCCATTCCTGTCTCCAACTGACTGAATGGTTCTACACCCCCCACCCCCGCCTTTTTAAGAAAAGAACAGATTCAAAACCTGGCCTTAAAATTATTACTGTATCTTTGGAACACAAGCTTGCTTGTGTTTTGTGATGGTGGTGGTCTGAAAACCTTTGTGTGGGATTACCTTTTCTTGTGTGTTCATGTGGGTGCTGCTTTGTGTATGTGTATGTCAGAGGACAGCTTGAAGGAGTTTGCTTTTTCCTTCCACCATCTGGGTTCTTGAGATGTGGACTTGTCAGGCTTAACAGCAAACACCCTGACCTACTGAGCCATCCTGCCAGCCCTTTTTTTTGTTTGTTTCTGAGATGGAGTTCCGCCACGTGGCTCAGACTGGCCTTGCACTCTCAATTGCCTGAGAGCTGGGGTGACAAGTGTGCAGACCCACGCGTGCACTATCGGTGGCTCACATACCCCTTCCCTTGCCACCAAGAGCCTGAGCAGCAGAGAAGGTCAGCTTGCTAAGCAGAATCCTCCCTGCTGAGCTTGTGAAAGTGGCGGCCATCATGGCTTTTGTGCTTCTGTTACCAGCCAGGTGGCTTTCCCGCCACAGAGCTGTGGGCTCGTTAATGCTCAGGTGCTGTGCTTTATGAAGGTAAATGTTGGTGGGACGAGACATTGATTCAGCCTCAAGTTCAAGGACGTGGACTGTATCAATGGCTCATCCCTGGAAATCTGCAGGCATTGATCATTAGCACAGTTTGGTGGCCTCAAACTTGTCTTTCTGCCCTGCTGAGGCCGAAACAAAGACTCGGGAACCAGCCACCATGGGCTGTGGCTGCTGGTGCCAGAACCAGAATGAGCAAGGACGAGGAGGAGTCGGGTCTTAAGAATGAAGTTTCTTTTCTCCTGGTGCCCAGAGGCAAGCAAGACGAGGTCACAGATGACAGAAGGCCAAGCAGAATGGGAAGAGGGTTGGTTGCAGGCAGCCTACACTGCAGTCGTTTCCAAACGCGAGCCCATTCAGAACCACCTGAGAGGTTCCACCCTGTTCCTGGTGAAGCTGGTGTGTGGTGGGACCTGAAAAGCCTCATTTTTAGCATCTTAGGTGATACTGACACTCCTGGAGCATGCTTTGAGAATCAGGTAAGTAATGCTGGACTCCAGCTAAAAGGAATAACGAATTTGGGCACAGAGGTAAGTAAGAACATAAAGATTCTTCCGGTAAGTCATGGCATGAATAGAGGTATAGAAATGAGAGCCCAAACAAGCATGCTGGCAAGTCCCAGGGCAGTCCCATCAGAAAAATGCTGGTGGCAGAGAAGAGTCCGCCTGTACTAGAAGGACTGAGGGGCCACAGGCTGCAGGCAGAAAGGGCCTCCACCATGGGTGTACTCCAAGAAGGCTGGCAGCGACCTTGTGCACAGTTACCTAATCGGCTGCGTGGAGGGGGAGTCTGGCTGAGCGGATTCAGACTGTGACTAAGGGTTGCTGCTGTAGACAGATACGGGATAGTAGCCCTTGTGTCACGTGTGCCCCTGAATTAAAGGGACACAAATTAGAGTTGTGGGACAGCTGTAATAGCCAGTGACCCGGAACTGGATTTTGGGTTACACAAAAGACTCACACTGAAGTAGCACAGTGGAAAGATGCAGAAGGCACAGCACTGAGGCAAAACCCAGAGCCCCTGGGTACACATACCCAGCCACAGGAAGGATACTGCATAGCCCTGCTCGCAGGGGACTTAGCACTTGCAAGGGGTGACAGGCACAGGTAACACACTGCCAAGGAGCCTGGTGACAGAGATCCTGAAAGGCTTCCTGGAGGAGAGCTGAGCTGAGCTGCAAGGCACAGGCACAGCGGGCTGGCCTGTGTGGGTCGGAGGAGCTGCAGTCAAAGGCAGACGGTATGGGAAGGCGGAGCAGCACAGGCAGGCGTGGAGACAGGGTGACACCGGAGGCCCCACCACTGCTGCACTGGAGATAGAGCAAGGAGTGGAGAGCTGGGCAGGAACAAAGGTCAAGTATCATAGAATGACCTTAGAATTTGCCGTGGGCAATGTTGGTTTGGGTTTGAAATGCCACCCTTAAAGAGCCACGTGTTAAAGGCTGTCTGGCTCGTGGCACTGTTGGGAACTGGGGGGATATTTGAGGTAGGCCTGACCGCAGTCATCGAGGCCATGCCCTTGCCCGCTCTCTCTTTGCCGCCTTCCATTACAGGCCCACAACAGCAGGGACAAATGACTGTGGGCTGAAAGGTCTGAGACCATGAGCCAAAATGGTGTCACTACTAAGATTATCCTCTCAGGCATTTCATTACAGGACAGTTCTAACATAGGTTGTGTGGATTGTTAGAGCAGACTGGAAACCGCAACAATCAGGGTGCTGGGGCGGGGTCCAGATCTAGGAGAAGCTGGCATGCAGGGCGGTGGGAGCAGGGGCTGAGCAGGGACTGGGAAGACTCGAGAGCAGATAGATGGAGGTGGGGAGCCCAAAACAATAACTTTGGCCATACAGTTTACAGGGTGATGGTCTGCAATGATCATATTGTAAATCTGTCTTCTGATTTGTGAGCATGAACAATTGATGGACCAGAAGACCTCTGTCCCCAAGTTGGAAGCTCAGGGCTGATACAGGAGACACTAGCATTTATGTGGCTGGAAACCGAGGCTTGGTGAACTCATGGAAGACTGTCAAAAGCACACACATAGTCTGGGAACACCCGAGAACAAAGGAGAGCAAGCTCAGGAAAAAGGCCGATCCAAGGAGAACTAGGAAGGCTCAGGGGGCAGGGCCTGTTCAACTGTAGCCTCAGCAAGGAGGTGAGGGATGGGGCAAAGAAACACAAGGAGCTGCTGAGGAGCTGAAGGATGGGGAAGGTATTTTGGTACATCTCCTGAAACTTCAGTCGGGACAGAAGCTGACGTCTCATTCTTGTTTTGAATTTAGGATTCAGAGTGACAGCTCGGGAGTTACAGGGTTCCTTGTAATTTTGTTTTTGTTTTTTTGTTTTTCGAGACAGGGTTTCTCTGTAGCTTTGGAGCCTGTCCCGGAACTAGCTCTTGTAGATCTGCCTGCCTCCTGAGAGTCTTGTAATTCTTGTGTGTCTCTGTGAGGATATAGTGGCATGGGGGACACAGTGACACTATGGCAGAGGACAGCCTGGGGAGGCCCAGAAGCAGTAGCAGGGCTGGAGGCTGGGGTAGTAGCCTGCAGTCACTTGCCAAATGCCTGGGTGTGTATCTGTGGAACCCGTGTCATATCTGAGGGACCCCTGCTGGTCCTGTGTGGTCCCTTGGTGAGGAAGCGAGGGCAGGTATTCCTGGAAGACCATGGCAGTGGGGCCAGGCACAGTGTTATAGTATTTGCATTTGCTGAGTTCTGACGCCCCCAGGACCTCACCGGGCTCCCTTTTAAGTCCGTCTATCCAGAGACAGCTGCAGGAATAAGACTGCTCCCCTGCCCCAGGAGCTTTACAGTGAGAAGTTTATTAGAAGGGCGCTTATAAGAAGAGGGGACACAGCTCCTTAACATTGGGGTACAATGCTGTAAGATACAAAAGTTAGAAAAATCTAAAACACTATAAATACATGCTTTTTACAAAGATACTAAAGGCCTGGATGGCTGAATAGTGACAGCGACCTCAGCCTCCAGGCATCCCCACACGAGAGTCCACACCAGCCCACCCGCCCTGGCAACAGCAAAGGCTTCTGGGATAAAGATGGCTCTGATTTCTATGTGAAGTTTTCAGCGCAGAGGACATGCTCACTCTCGAGGGCCTGGGCTTGACTAGAGCGGCCTGTTCGCGCATGCCACCACTTGTTGACTGTCTGGTCTGACTTTTGTGGATCAGGAGCCAAAAAAGCCACTGCAGCCTTCATCCGTGTTCAGGGCTGGCTGTGTTCCAGCTCTGCCCATTGCTGTCCTGGGGGAGAAACCTTCACAACAGTCTTTAAGAAATTAAATACCTATCCATCTGAATGGCTTTAAGGACTTGTTACATAAATATGCATACAGCAGAATGCTAAACATCACTTTTGTCTTAACACGAGCCAGCTGCAGGGGCTGTTTCGAAGGTGATAGCCATGCATCAACATGTTCCTCTCCGTCCAGTACCCCTATCAGCAATGCACATACATCTTCATGTTTGATCCGCATCCTGGTGTGTGGCTTCCTGCCCACTTGGGAAGTTGCTGAACACTGTAACGACCACTACTTAAAGAGGCCAAGTGATTGGAACACTGACCACTCATGGGAAATACAAGTGCACTCCAACCAGGCTCCAGCTAATGTAAAGGCACAAACATCTAGCCACTTCGTCACACAGTGAGAGATACAGTGCAGCGCTGTGACTGTGGCCCTCCTGGTGCAGGTGCCTTTCCAGCCTCTCAGGGACTTAGAAAAAATTCAGAAATGGCAGCTTGGGGCTAAGAATGAAGTCAGATATTTGCCTCTGCCCCAGACAACTCAGGCACATGCGTGACCACACACGCTACTTAAAACCTTTCTGTGGTCAGAGTGAAGACATCAAGCCCTGAAAAATATATCCCATCTCTGAGAAGCAAATGGGAGAAGAGCAAGACCACAGCACCCTGAAGCACTGCGGCTCATTTCAATACATTAACGGGTAGGCAAAGAATCACTGACAATAAAAATAAATACAGCACACTCTCAGGACAGCGGAGAAGTCTGCCAGCAGCCTTGCCCTCCCTATGTTCTTCCTAAGAGAGTCCCTGCTGTGCACTCCAGGCTTTTCTCGAGATGCCAGGTCTTCCACAGGCCTCCTGGCAGGCGGCCAGCTGCACTGACATGCCGACACAGGCCTGTAATCCGCACGGCTGGGCTACCTGCACACGCACCGAGTGAAGTTGGAGGAGCAGGATACAAAGTTAGCTCCCTGGGCTGCTGAAGAGGAGGATCTCTGCCCAGCGCCAGCCATGGGGTCAGTGTCAGCAGAAACCCGAGGCTGGCACAGCACATGCGGTTAGGGCAACTGAAGGAACCACACTTCAAAGGCCACAGCAGCCAGCTGTCCTTTAGAAGTGCTGTCCGTACAAGACAAGATGGAAAGCTAACTTGGGAGGACACTTAGATTACTCGTACCCGAAGGACCTGTGTTCTCCACGATGGAGCGGCATATTCTAGATTCCAAAGCCTTTTATTTCCAGGATGCAGAGAGGACTTGCCTAGAATTTCCTTCTACATCCTCTAGCGACTGGCCAATAAAGCGAGGGGACCAAGGAAGTAACCTTTGGCAAGAAGAGGAAAAAAAAAAAAGATACTCTCAACTTTGTGCCTCCCAGGAGCAGCAGTCAGAGTAGCCGTTCGCTGAGCACCGCAGGCTCCCGTGCATTTCTGGATACAGAGCAGGCTGTGGATGGCTCCATTCGTGCTGCGTGGAGCTCTTCTCCGGGCAAGGCACCTAGGGGATGATGGTGGAAGCCCCTAGGGAACTGGGCAGCAAGTAGACAAGACAGGTTCCCATGAACCTGTCTTCAGTAGAAGCCATCAGAACATCCTTGTGCTGGGCCTGACTCAGAGCTTGGGTGACATGCAGGCAGTTCCAAGGACTTCCTGTGTCTGAAGCAGCAGTCCACAGACCGTCTCAAGCCTGGCACAGCGTTCACAGCCACTGTCTGTGCCCTCTCAGGAGAGGGGGCATTCAGGACTGCCTTTGGGTTCTGTAGCAGCAGCCTGCGGAGGAGGTGTTTGAAGGAGGCTTGGGGAACAGCATGCCTACTGGAAACATCTTGCCCAGAGCTTCAGAGGCCAAAGGAGTCTGCAGGAGACACACCAGAATGTGCCCCAGAGTCTCTGAAGCATCAGAAGATTGGTCACATTGGAGGGTGCACTTTCTTCCCTTCTGGAACAAGACAGGACTTCCACAGGAAATCCATACGAAAACGTGGATGGTCATTTCACAACAGAAACAGCAGCCAAGAAGAAAGTACCAATTGCAGGTAGTGATCCTGTGTGCTGTGTTCTACTAAAGCAGGGAAAGGGACTCTTTTTCCAGTTGAAGTAATTTATACTCATTTTCTCTGTCATTGCCACTGGGAACAGTGCTCACTGCACAATATCACTGCAGCAGTTTTCGGTGACAGTCCTTTACCAAAGCTGGGGAATCTTACATCCCAGAGTGAAGATGACAGGCCTCTCTGCGCCAAGCCTGCAATTTCCCAAGGTGTAAAATAATTGTAATAGCCCTTTTTCATCTGCCCCTGTCGGATTGCCTGGGGATGTCTTACCTTCTGGAAATCTCAGCTTCCACACCTCAGGGCAAGCAGCAGTTGGTGGGTCTGCTCTGGTCTTCCAGCCAATGTACACACACACAGCATTGTCTTTATAAAACAGAAGACATTGCAAAGAGCCTGTGCTAGGTGACTTCATTAATGCAACTGGCTCCGTAAACCAGCACACCATATGCACCCCAATACAGTGCCAGCTTTCAGAGACACATTCAGTGTGGTGCCACCTCGCTCGGACATGCGCTCCACCACTGCCCTCTCCGCTTTCTGGGAACACTTGGACAACATCCGTATCTGAGAGCACTGTGACAACAACTATACATCCCATCCACGCAGAGCTTCGGCAGGTCCTTCCGAGGGAGAAGGGGTAATGAAGAAATGGCTCTCACCAGCTTTACCCACCGGCATGTTCCCATCTGCATTCTGAGGGCGGGGAGAGTGCCACTGTAGGCCATCCGGTTCACCAGGCACACCCTGTGTGTGGAAGTGGCGGCACAGGGCATGCTCCATTGGAGTTTTTATCCACGGATTCCAAAAGCCAGGATGCTCTTCCAAAGGTACACTCCAGCCCTTGAGAAAGGCACTTCCCTCTTTGACGATCACATCCCAGCTCTCTGACATTGAACAGGAGTCAGATGGCGACAGCCATGATTTGGGCTTCAAACTGGGGCACATGTATGCAGACACAGCTGTTCATAACATCATCCCTGGGAATTTTTTTTTTTTTTTTTTTTTTTTTTGTGGTTTCAGAAACAGTTTGGTGCCTTAGTTGAGAGAAATTTGTTGTCTTCTTTGACAAAAACAAGTTGGATGGAGTTCTCTTCCAAGGCCATTTTCCCCAAGCCCACCCTCCCCCGCCCACTCCCTCCACTCCCAGTATCTCTAAGACACACTGGAACAGCGGATACTGGGGGAGCCCATCTGGGTGAGGACCTTGTCCAGCCACTGCAAGGGCCCATTCAGGTGCAGCTCGATCCAACAGGGGGTACTGGTCACTGTCTGTCTTCTGCAGAGAGAGGGAAGAGATGGGAGACTTTAAAATGTCCGGAAGGACACATGTAAGTCAGGACACTGCTTTTTGCCGCCTCAAGCCAGAGATCTCTTCATGCTAGATACTGCCAAGAGGTGTACCAATAATGCAGCCAAGGAGGGCTTTGAGTCAGTTTCTGCTGGAGGGAGAGTGTCTCAGAGTTAAAGGAGGACTGTGACAGGCCCCCATGTATGGCCTGCCAGAATGAAGGTCTCCCTGGCTCCCAGCTCTGCCCCTGGGTAGGTACCTGCAGCCCCTCCCCAAATCTGGGCCAGCCCCATAGTTGTCACGCCTGTCTGTCTGATGGAGGGTGTTTTCACAAAGCGCTGACAGCCCACATGCTCAGGCCCCAGTGTGCCGCTATAATCCCATCTACAGCTTATTTTGGAAAATCTTACCAGCAGAGCTAGCCGGGGAACAATTACTGGAAAAACCAAGGCACACCACACGTTTCTTTTCCTCCAGAGCACTTTGTCTAAATTCAGACTACTTGGTGACGCAGCTCGCAGGCAAGCTCCCAGAAGCCTCCAGTGAGCAAAGGCTATCTGCTGTGGCCGCATGCGGGTGCCAGCTGGAGGTGAGGACTGGGATGCAGGCCCACTTACAGCTGCTTTAGAAAACTGGCCTGAAACCTTACTCTGTTTGGCCCACAATGCAGGAGGGCATGTCTGTTCTGGGAAGGGGCCGCACCCGCCACTCAGCTGCTGTGCCACGCTGCCAGGCGGCAGTGACGCAGCGAGCTGTGTAGGACGGGGTGTGCTGGCATGGTACCCTGCATAGTGATACAGTGCCCTAGAGAGGGGCTTCTTTCTGCCAGCACATCCAGGGCCACTATCCCAAGAGTCCACTCAGCCTGGGGTGTCTGCCTGAAGACCGTGGGCCTCCCAGGTCTTTGCCTTGGGGGATTTTGCTCTAAAGAATTAGTTTTCTAACCTTTCACTCGCATTTCCTAAATGATGTAAATCCTGGACTAAAAGGTTGGCCCAGACAGTTCTCCAGCCAGACCTCTGGGCCGGGTCATCAGAACATGGCTGGAAGTTCTTCCACAGTCTGACCGTTTGGGTTCTTGCTTGGTTACCCTCCCTGGGTTTCAGATTAAAGGGCCCAAAGTGCTTGGCTCACTGGCATCATGAGGCATCCCCGGAAGAACAGCAGCTCTGAGAGCTAAACAGAGAAGGTGGATTTGACCTCCATCCTTTGCTGGGAGTCCGACTTTCCATAAGTCACGCTCATCGGGATTTCATTACGCACGGTGGCCTGGAGCCAGTATCGAAATGGGTTTGGCCAGGGTGCAGAATGACTGCAAAACAACTGATTCCAAACATCTGGAAAAATGAAGAGAAGGGGCGAGGAACTCGCAAGGCGCTGGCTGCAGCTGATGTGTGGGTACCTCTGTGTCTGTCTGCTTTGGGAGCTGGGGAGGAGGCATGGAACAGAAGGGCATGTGGCCCTGCCTCCGAGAATGCTCCTGTCCACTATGGAGAAAGGAGACTAGATTTTCATTAACCCAAGTCTAGACGGTCTGAGGGCCTCGTGAGTAGACCAGGTAGGCCTGGCTGTTACTGGTGCCATGTTTTAAGTGCTAACTGGAATTTTTTTTTGTTGTTGTTGTTCTTTATAAACACTCAAATCTCCTCCTTTGTTGAGTTTAATAGTGATGGAGCCAGTGGTAGTGTCGGGGAGACAGTCAACACAGGAGAGGCCAGGATGGAACATGTCTTTGTCATTTCCACTTGATGCATGTTCTTTTCTCTCTATAGGCTTTAGTTCCCACATCTCTATAAAAACAATTCCAGTGTCCCCACACTGAGCCTGGAAATGCTGACCAAGCTGGAGAAGTGCTGAGCCACTATGCCACCGTACCTGGCCTCCATACCTGGCCTCCCTGATCCCTGAGGACCTAGGCCAATGGCCTAGAGTTGGCTCCTCCCCAACACCTGATAAAAGCAGCTCAGTCACTGACCTGTACTCGGCGCCCCAGCCTTTGACGAAGCTCATTCGGATGGTGCACATGCGAGTCAGCTGGTAGACGGCCTCAAAGCCCTGGTTGACAGACTGAGCCAGGAGAGCAGCGAATTCCTGGTTGTTGAAGATCTTCAGGTTGCAGCCTGCCAACCACAGTCAGTCAGATACAGCAATCCTGGGCCCGCCCAAGTGACCCGATTCACTCGCCTCAAGGGGCAAACGGTGGCTCCACTTGGTGGCCACCTGCTCTGTGCTCATGCAAGGATGGGCTTTCTCCATTCCTACACTTGATCTGCACACCTCTAGCAGGGAGATGCACATGCAAGGGGCACCAAAGGCTGGCCCACAGGTGCCACCTCCTCCCGCTCTGGGGAGCCATATGCTAAGAAGGAAGCCTGGAAGTAGGCTTGGATGACACAGGGATCGTCTGGAGAGGCTGAGGCAGGACTCTGGTTCAGAGAGGCAAGGGACCTGAGCCTGGTGGCCAATGCCTTGTGGTGTAGTAGCCACCTGGACGCAGGTGCTCCTTCACTGGTATAGCAGCAGGGCATGGGCAGCGAGGTGGGTGTGGGGCCTACCGACACAAGGATGGATACTCTCTCAAGTCGAAAGCACCCTCCTCTAGGCTCCCCCGATGGCCCTGCCTCATGCTGGAGTGGAGGAAGAGAGCTGAGTCACATGGTGACCTCTCCAAGCTTGGGCCAACGCGACAACAACCATGTACCTAATTCTCTACAATACAGCTAGAGACAGGCACAAACAATACTGAAAATAAACCTTGTTTGAAACCCTACTGCCCAAATGCCAAGAGAACATGACCAGAAAATAAAGGCCAAAGTCCATGCCAGGAACCAGAGAACAAGCAGAGACCCTATCTGCTGTGTGACTCTCTTGCCTCTCCTTGTGATCCGGTGTGTCTGGTGGGGAGTAGGGTCCTGACCGTCCCTAAGCTGACAGGACACTACCAGAGACCCCTCAGCCTTCAGGGATGGAGGTGGACAGGGTAGGTGGCAGGCTGGGAATGCTACCCAGCTTCCACCTCCACCCCTGCATGCTTCCAGGGGGGTGGGTAGAACAAGGCTCAGTCCACACCCATTCTCAGGGCTGCACCCCAGCCGAGCCAACAGTCGGGTAGACTGAACACCCGACTGACTAGTCGGCCAACCTTCTGTGGCTTCTTCCCAGCTCTGGGACTTAGATGCGTGGTTCACTCTGAACCTTTCTTCGAGCCCCAGGGGCTACTGGAGAGGAAGAGTGAGTTCAGAGAAGTGAGTGTGCTTTGTGAACGAAACCACAAAAGCTGCCAAAGCAGAGCTCCATTCCAGGCTGAAATTCTCGGTGTTCTTTGGTTTACCCGGCCACAACCCACCACTCCACCGTCACCTACTAAGCACAAACGGGAAAAGGAGCTAACTACACATATCCCAAGCAATGGCCCGGACACAGGCCATATATATATGAGGAGTGTTTTGGCTTTCTGCCGTGGTGGAGTCCAAGCCTGGACATTCTTGGGGTCCTCAGAAAACCCTCAACTCCCCAGAATAAACCCCAAACTTCCTCCCTTCACCCAAGATCCAGAAAGCCTTTTAAACATCTGCCTTACATGGCGCCTCCAGCCAGTATCCCGCCCTCCGTTTCTATGCCCTTGTTGCGGTGTCCTTCCTGCCGCATGCCCTCACAAACTTTACCCCACCTCTCCTGGCACCTAATGTCTCCTCCAGGATGCCCTCCCCGATTTCTCCCTGGGTCTTAGCGCCCTGTGTCACACTCCCCGTCTTCATCTTGAATAGCCTGGGTCTATACAGCTGTGCGTGCAGGAGCATCCCTGTCCACTCTCCATCCTGCTCCAGTTCCTGCCACCGACCCTGCATCTCCTGTTTGCCGGCGGAAAGACACCAGTGCACACCCGTGGGAGTTGGAGGGTGCCCTGGGTTAGAGATTAGCTAGATAGCACCTCTGATCTCGTGAGCTTCCATGGTACAAGAGGACAGACAGGTACAGAGTGTCACCAATGCAGACACCAATGTGGAGGGAAGGTAAAAAAGCCTTCCCAGGCATGTCCCAGGGGCCATGGCCCAAGGCAGCACCTCAGGGGCTTACCTGGGGGGATCTTGCAGACGGTGGCAGGGTGCCAGCCATAGCGCTGGTTGCAGTTGGGTGACTGAACAAAAATCGCGCTGTCACTGAGGCACTCTGCAAAGACCTCCCCTCCAATGTAGTAGAGCCGCACGCCTCGCCCTAGGGAAGTCAAGAGACACTGGGTCAGAGGGACCGACCCACAGGGCAACAAGGCTAGCTGGGGAAGGGGCTGCTCCAGATAAGAGGAGCCCAGAACCCAGCCCAAAGTAAAGTGGGAGAATGTGACGGGCAGCTTGGGGTTCCTAAAGCAGCCGAAATAGGTGGCAAGGGAAGGAGCCTGTGCCCAGTCCCAGCCTGAGCTCCTGTGTAGAGGACAGCGGTAATCACCTACCTCAGTGGTGACTGCCACAGTGGCTGGTGAGGACAGCTGCTGCCACCCCACTGCTCTAGTCCCGCCCCCAACAGCAGGCACAGAAGTGCCTTGGTGAAGCCAGGGTGCTACTGAGACATCAGCCCTCTCTGGCCCCTTGCCATAGGGACCTCGCTTCACGTGGTTCCCTAGTGCAACCCTTGCTTTCCCTTCATCACCTAAATCCAACCCAGATGGACAGAAATTAATTTTCAATTGGCTCAGCACTCCAGCGGTTATGTAAACATTGAGCTCTGCCCAGTGGGGGATGTCCCCTTATGCTTAGGAGAGGCCCAGAGTGCAAGAAGGCAGCTGGACTTGAAGGCCAAAGTCCCGTGTATATGCTCAGGTGACATCTATACAATGCCTACTCCACACTCCCACCTCCTCTCATCTAGGTCCCACGGCACTTGGTGCTGGGGGCGGGTGTCTCAGTGTCCCCAGGATGCAGCCGTGGTTGTGGGGGGGGGGCATTACCAATGTGCCGCCTCGTGAGCTCCACAGCTGCATTCCGGTTGACATTGGACAGCAGGCCCAGGCAGAAGCGCTCAGAGTTGGAGGGATCAGTGAAGCCATCCACTGTCATAGACGGCTGTGAGGCGTGGAATGTCTCCCCAACTCGCTGGTTCAGCTCATAGTAGGAGATGGAGCACCAGAAGGCCGGCTCACAGTAGGTCACTGGCTGTAGGTCTGCAGAGACAGGGAGTGTGCGGGTCAGTGGGTAATACAGAAGCTCTGAAAGACTTTCTCCTCCACTGCCCCCTCCTCCCAATTTCCACTGCCACACCAGGGACTAAGGTCCTCAGACCCTGCCAGATTCCAAGGGAAGCGATACTGGGTCCTTTTCTTTTGGGCCCCCACACACCCTGCCCCATAGGGTTTAGCCTTCCTGTGAACAGAAGCAGCCTTCGGAGACAGGCTAGCCCAGACACGAAACAGGTCAGGACCAGCCGGCACCAGGCCCGGCACTATGAGCAGCCCTAGGTACGCTCTATGGGGCCGTGCCACCTTCAAAAGTCATCTCCTACTCTCTCTTCTGGGATCCTCAGAGGAGCCCACGTCAATCTCCGCCTCCCAAAGGGCTTTTGCTTTGGTGCCACTTGGCCTGAGGAGCAGCAGTTTGTTCCTCTGGCATCTGTAATGACATGGCCGCAGTGGCCTCACGAGTGCAGCAGCACCTCATGTGTGAACATGCAGACCAGGATCCGGAACAGGACTGGCCATGTGTCACAGCAGAAACCATGGCCCATCTTGATGTAGCTGCCAGCTGTTGGGATGACGGGACACAAAGCAGCTCTGAGGATTTTGTAGTTTTTGTGGTTGTACAGCCTCGACTAGGTGCTCCTCAAGGTAGACTGGCCACATGAGGGCCGACTCTCTCCTACGACAGCTGGGGACTGCTTCAAAAGGAGTCAAGTCCTCTCAATAGCCCAGCTTTCCACTTCCATGCCCTGGGACCCATGTAAAGTTAAAACAGCCCTGCCCCAACCCGCACACCTCTACAGCATGCCCCTGGCAGGGTCCCCTCAGCAGGCTGGCTTCTGCCAGCTCTTCCCTCAGAAGCCTACAGCCTCCTGCAGGACTTCATGCGCTGGGCACCACCCCCAGATGCTCCTCCCACTGTAGCTGCCCTGCTGGCCCTGGGGAGGAGCCTCAAGCCCTGCTCATCATGGCCACCCATCTCAGACCTACACCCCCAACCTGGAACATTCTCAAGTGTTCCTGCAGCCACCTGGTGATTGTGTGTGCCTTTGTGAGGGCGAATATCTGTAAGTGACTGTCTCACTTGACTGTGAGGTCCTAGAGTCCCCTCTCCTCCCGTGCACGGGGCTCTAGTAAGAAGGAAATAGGGATGGCTCAGCACTGGCCTGAGAATCCTGTCTGCTGAAGTAGAGAGCTGCTGGGACCTGTGCTCAGTGTCTCCTAAGTGCCCAGTCAAAGAGAACAGCAGATGCTGTGTTGCCCACAGGGGAGGGCCTGGATGGCCCCTGGTGGTACAATGGCCCAGATCTCCTGCAGTGCAAAGCAAATGGTCCTTGTAAGAGTGAGGCGGGGGATACAGCCCCCATCTTCACATACTGCCGACTGCCAGAGCCAGCTGCAGGGTCAGCATACCCTAAGCTAGGGCAGATGACTGGTTGGGAGAAAGGTGGTCCAGATATTATGGGATGGTCAAATGCATCCTCAGCCTCCAAGTCATTGGATACTCATAGCATATATTTACCTCATCCTCCCAAGTACTGACAATAACAACCATGCCTAGACACTGCCAGGTGGGGGTTGGAAGCACTCCCCACCAAAAAGCCATCGTCCTTTATGTTGAACCAGATCTCAGAATAATTCATTCACGCTCCCTGTGTCAGGCTCTGCATCGCCCCTGCCCATGGTCGCATCCTCTATGCCACTGGAGCTATTGTGGATTCCCTGAGCTAACTCTAGTAATAGATGGGCATGCAGCAAGCAGTATAAGGTACCAACAGCGATAATAACCTTGCCTAGGAACCTGGGAACACCCTGGTGCTGTCTTGACCTTCCAGATGCAGATGGGCAAAGCTTCCTCCCCTCCTTCTCTTCTCACGGTGGTTGAGCGGTTGAGCAAGAGGCCAAGGGGAAGGAAGCAGAGGATCAAAGCTACCGTGCAGAGAAGGGGGGCGCCGAGACAGGAGCAGCTGTGGCCTGTGCCCCTGGCTCCTGAGGCTGGACTGAGCCACAGCAGCCACGTCCGGTCCTGGCCCTGCTCCACGCTTCCACATTCCAATGAGATAAGCTAGATTCTAAACAATTTAGCCACTAGAATGTGAGCTATGCTGCTTTGGACAATTTGTTAAAAAAAGAAAAAGAAAAAAAGCCCAGTGCTAGCCAAAGTTTAAAATGGGCAGGTGACCTGTTGGTGCTGCTAGCTGCTACTGCCCAAGGGTCACCTACCTTGAAGTGTGTCCCTGGGGACATGACCTTCCACTCTGGTCTGTTTCCTCATCTGTATCAAGGATGGTTCTAGAAGATAGCTAAAGCTGGCCATCTTAGTCCCTGTGTTTCTGCCATGTTTCAACCTAAAGAGGCAACAGCTTTGGCTGATCCAGGTCATCCCTGGCTTTCTTAGTAGCGTGTATAACAAAGTCCTCACCCCCAAATTCCAAAGTCCTGCCTAGGATTTCGTGGGCTTAGTCCAGGCACAAGAGAGCTGGTGTTAAGATTCCCAGGAACACTGACACCACCCATCCAAACAAAGCCTGGCACACCCCCCAGAGTGTCTGTCATACCTGGAAGAGCAGTGTTCGGGGGAAGGGGAAGCTTCATGGAAAGCGGCCCTTCCAGGCAGATCTATACCCTCCCTCCCCCAAACACCTCTGGGACCCCCCTCCCTCCAGGCACCCTGAGTAACCCAGTAGAGAGTCTGGACTCAGATGGACAGGCCTTCCAGACTCATAGCAGCTATGTCATGGCACCAGGGCACAGCTCAAAGGTTGCCACTTCAAAGGGTGCCTGTCTTCTCTGACTCAGCAACAGGGCCGACTAGGGTAGCCCCCTTTTAATTCTCTGCAAGGCTGTGCCTTTGAGTTCCCTCTCTCCCTCCCTCCCCACCTATCAGCCCTGGCTTTTTCCTTCAGGCACTTTTGCTACAGCGGGTGCATAGCAAAAAGTATAGTTACTATTTCCCCCTGCAATGGTAGCCCTTCCCACCCCCCACAAATCTTTTCTAGAAAAAGTCAGGACTCTGGAGAGACAAGAGCCATGGCTGGTACAAGAATGTGATAGCAGCCACTGACAGCACTCAGCTCAACTCTGAGCTTCTTAGAAGATCAAACAAAAAGGGAACAGAGTTGTTAAGGTTTGGGCCTAAAATGTGCCCCCTAGCCTCATACAATTGAATACTTGGTCCCTAGCTGGCGGTGCTGTTTAAGGAGGTTATGAAACCTCTGGGACACAGGGCCAAGCTGGCAGATGTAGGTCCCTGGATGCAGGCCTGGAGGGTTACAGCCTGCCCTGAGTTCTGGTTCCATGCTCTGCTTCCTGATCTACCAAGGTTTGGACAAACTGTGCTTCAAGATCTAGCCAACATGGGCTTAGCTGCTCCAGCCACCATGCCATTCCCTCCCCGAGTCCCAGAGTCCCCCAATAAGTGCAGAAGTGGTTTACAGAGGCCCTGAAGAGCTGCTGTTCAAAGGCCCATCTGGCAGCAAGATTGCAGGAGATTTGGGGCTCCATGGATGACACCCCAAGGAATATATATGGGTTTGCTCTGCCAGACCAAGGCTTCCACACACCTGGGCTGTTAGAGGAGACCTTGACTCCATTCAGCCCAGTCCCTGCTAATCTCTTCCCAGAGCGGAGGTGTTAAAGACACGAAACCTCCGCACTAGCCATCAGGGCCGCCACCTCCACCAGCATGGTGTCAGCCAGGCTTCTCGACTGGCATGGAGCACTCAGTTCTCCGCTGGCCCCTGGCCAGCCTAACGCATTGGCTGGCTTCAGTTCTGAGCCCCATTCCAAGCTGGCACAGACTCTGTGTTTTGTTTAAGGAAAAGAAAATAGAATAAAACCCAGAAGGCGACACTTGGATTAAGGGGTGCCTATTAAAAACATGTGCAAAAGATTCCAGTCGGCAGAAGCTGAGGGGAGGAGGGGGGCACGCCAGCTTTCTCCTGAACCTCAGGCAGGCGATGGGTAAAGGTCTGTACGGCGGGTACCACAGGACTTGAGGTCAAAGCAGAGATGTCCTGGCTAGTCTGGGCCCTCCCCACCCATGAAGAGTGACTCTGCCTCAGTCTTGAAGATTCTACCCTCTGACCCCATAGCCCTTCTGGCTGTCTCTTCCTTAGCTGTTTGCTTCCACTGGAGAATCCATCCCCATCTGTATGACCCTGACCTGCAAGGGCCAGTACCGGTGACATGAGACATTCCCCTCATGCAAAGTAATTCATGCCCAGCTACTAGAGCACCATCTCCTGTGCTGGGGGGCGTTGGCCCTCCATGGCCCCAGCACCTGGGTCCTCACTCCACCCTGCCTCCCAGACTGAGGTAAAGAGCTAGCACATACAGAGGAAGGAGTAGAAGCTGCTCTGACCTCAGGCAAGTTTACTAAGTCAGGCAAACAGCAGGGGCTGAAAACCGGACCCTGTGGCAGCTGATTTCCTGCCATCCTGTGTGTGTGTGTGTGTGTGTGTGTGTGTGATATGCGCATGTGCCTCAGGACAAACTCAGAGCGCTGGAAGCGCAAATGCTCCCACATCCAGCATTACATGGGTTCTCGGGGCTGAACTCAGGTCCTCGTGTGTGCACAGCTGTACCTAGCAAGTCCCTTACCCAAGCCCCTGCCTGTGTCTCCATAAGCCACTGAAGGCTGCAGCTGGCCTTTAAGAAGTACTGTCTGGCAGCATGGATCCTGCTGGCTTCTCACCATTCCAGGGGGTAAGGAGGTGAGGGGCTGGAGGAGAGGGGTGGGCTTCGGATCCTGCCACCCAGCCCAGCCCTAACCCAGCAGAGGAAGGCTCACCCTGTCATGGGCACTCCAGGAAGCCATTACCACAATAGGCTCAGCTCTCTGCTGTGTCGGGCTCTTACAAGGACCTCAGTTTCCTCAGCCCAGGCACACCCTACATGTGTCACTGTGACAGGGAATAACTTACTCACCAGAGGGTCACCTTTCCCTAACCTGCTGCTTCCTTCCCCTGTTTTCCTCAATCTTCCTGACGTAGACACTTGGGAAATTTCAGGTGACCCACCCAGCATGATGTGTCTGAAAAGAAACATGCCCAGCTCACAGCCCCTGCTCTGCAAAACAAAGGGCCCAGGGGTTCCCCAGGGTTAGCCTCTGCGCACCATGCCCGGCTGGGGCTCAGTCCTGCCTTTGGGCCTTGTCTCTCAGGTCACTGCACTGCTGATTTTGAGAAGCTCATTCTTCCCCAGACCTGAGCTGGGGCCTGAGCGGGGAAGAAAATGGAAGCCATAACTAGATGTGGTATACTTTCTCTGCATAATAATTTCATATCAAGACCTTTCAAAGACATACCTGTAATCTTGAGATGTCCCCATCTTTTTCTAGAAAGCACTGTGCTGGCTAGAATTACATCAGTTTGACATAAGCTATAGTTGTCTGAGAGAAGAGAACCTCAGCTGAGAAAATGTCTCCAGAAGAGGCTAACCCTGGGGAACCCCCGAGCCCTTTGTTTTGCAGAGCAGGGGCTGTGGGCAAGCCTGTAGCGCATTTTCCTTCTTAGCGGTGGGTGTGAGAGGGCCCAGCCCATTGTAAGTGCGACCATCATTGGGCTGGTGATCCTGGGTTCTCTAAGAAAGCAGGCTCAGCAAGCCATGGGGAATAAACCAAGCTAATGCCCCTCCATGGCCTCTGCATCCACTCCTGCCTCCAGGCTCCTGCCCTGTTTGAGTTCCTGTCCTAACTTCCCTCAGTGATAGACTATGATGTGGAAGGATTAGCCAAACAAACCCCTTCTCCCCAATCTGCTGATCATGGTTTCATTGCAGAAATGGTAACCCTAACTAAGACAACACTCTCCGTGTTCTGATCTCCATTCTGCAGTTTGGGGTACCTAGTCACCAATCACAAAGGGTGCGGCTTCTGCTACCTCAACAGCCCCCTTCTGCATGCCCTTCAGCCTGCGGCTCTCCTGCACCACACACCTCTTGACTGTTCTGTGAAGGTTGCTCCCAAGCTCCTGATGCCCCTCCTTAGCTCTTCTGACATCTCATTTTGCACTCCTGAGAAGTCTCCTCTGCTGTCACTGGCTTTCAGCACCTCTACCTCCTGGCCACTGTGCCCATAACCCTATCCTCCTCCTGGCCTCAGGCTCTTGTCTTCTGTCCCCAGTGTCCCCTTCCGCCTGTGTCTCTGGCTCTCTCCTGAGCCAGGGTCCTCTCTCTACCCAATCCACCCACTCCTATGATGTCAGCCAAACCTTTAGTGGCATTCCTGAATGGACTTGCTGGAATGGTCAGTGGGTAAGGGAGAGAAATACCCAGCAGTCTTTGTGGGAAGGACAGGAGATGGACCGAACCCCTTCCTATGGGCTTCCTGGAGGTCTTGCTATGTTGCTCACCACAGAACTTGGGGGGTGGGGCTTCACACAGGTACCATGTGCTCTCTATCAGTGCCTTGGACTAACAGCAAACACAAAATGCTTACAACTTCCTGCCTTGGGCCCCTGCCTCCCTGACTTCCCAGGGAGGATCCATGGAGCAGAGAGACCTCTGGCAGTCTCTAGGCCCATCACACCTCATCAGGGCAGGCCTCCTTATGGTCCCCGTCCTGTGCGCACAGGTCCACAGCCACTTCTTGAAACGGCCTTTCGTATTTCTCTAGCGTGTGAACCTTAGCTTCCCTTAGGACGCCCACCAACTACTTGGGTTTCTTTCTGGTTTTCCTCCAGGAACGTCTCATCAAATTTATACGCTATATAGTGGTCAGATTTCCTCTATTTTGGTGCTATTAGGATCTCACCACAACCCCTCCAGCACACCCGCAACCTCCTGCTGTGAGGGCAGGGAAGGGAGTGACATAGCATTCAAGACTCAGCTGCACCTTGCCCCAGCCCTTCCTGCTAGCTGATAACCACATTGGTGACTTCCTTGGAGCACACCTGCTCCTCCATCTGTAATGTCCCTCATCTCTCATCTCGTTCTATTTTCCGATGTCCACCTGGCCCAAGGTGAGTCTGGGCTGAGTCTGCCCAGCACATTGCTTATGGCTTCCTCTTGGGCATAGTCCCCACTTCTATGCCTGCTCCCTCAGCTCCATAGGGAAATACAGGTGTGGTCATGTTGTGACCATGTTTCTAGCATGGCTCTAGACCAATGGTTCTCAACCCACGGGTCTCAACCCCCTTGGGGGGGGGGTGTCAAACAACCCTTTCATGGGGGTCACCTGAGACTATCAGGAAATACCAATATTTATATTACGATTCTTAACAGCAACCAAATTACAGTTATAGAGTAGAAACAAAGGTAATTTTATGGCCGGGGGTTACAATATGGCGACTATATTATAGGGCCACAGCATTCGAAGTGTTGAGAATGACTGCCCCGGATCCTAGCATCTACACAGGGTATGGATCGAGGAAGCCAAGAGTCAAAGTCAGTTTCTCTGTCTGATGACTGTGCGGCTCAGAGGAGCACAGGCTCTCCTGAGCTGTGACATGAAAAGTGACCACGCTTTTGCCCATGGTTATGAAGACCAGCCCTCGGGGTACCCCGAAGGGCCCCCAGGAAACACTTTGTCCCATCATTATTCTGCCCTGGCTCACCCTCCTCCCAGCCTGCACCCCAGGTCAAAGATTTAAATGCACATGAAGGATCCTAAGTCAGAAAATTCTAGCCTGAGGCTGCTGCCACCAGCAGACTGGTCTGTGACCTTGATGGCTTTCCCAGTGGCACGTGCCTGAACACTTACAGTGAAATGGCTCCAGAAATAAATCTAAAGCAGCTCACCCCCGAAGCTGGACGCCCCTGATCGGCCTTTAGTGGCATCTAGTCTTGGTTTGTTTTCAATAACTCGGGCCTCCACTATCAAGAACGTGACCTTCCCTCAGCCAAGCTCCTCGAGATTACACTCCAAAGATTTAAACTGTATCTCAAAGTCATGTTTTGCTCCGCCCACCCGTCGGCACTTTTCAAAGACTCTTTACGTGTTTCCCAGTATTCCGAATGAGGAGTTTTCGCCAACACTATCGGCCAAGGTCTTGAAACAAATGGGCACACCAGCCCGTCCAGTGTGCTCTGCTCCAAAGTGTCCCACCACGATCAACTGCTTTTCCTGGGCCAGAGAGCAAGAGCCAGCCTTAACCCCAGTCCCACCCCGCCCCCAATGAACCCAAACTACAGACCAGAATATCCAAAGCTACCTTTGATAAAAACACAGACATCTCATCTGTCTTGAGCCCTTCTGCCGTTTCTAGCCCCAAGGACTCCTGAAGAGTCTCCCTCCCCCACGCTGGAAGGATGCTGGCAGGGTGACCCTCAGAACGCTGACCTGCGTCCAACAGCTGAAGACTGTTGTGGGAACAGTGGGGTCAGCTGATAGAAACATCGTGAGATAGTACAGTGATAATCAAGACTTCCAAATGGAGAAACGCATTTGTAGAGGATCAGACGGGCCATGGATCAGACGGGCCATGGTTTCAGTGGCACAGTACACATGTATACACTGCCCCACAAACACCAGACAGACCATGATAAAACAGTTGCTCTGGGCAGTGTGATCGTGGGCACATTGCTTTTCCCCCAAATTCCTTATATGTTGCTGCTTTAATAACAAGTTATTATGAGACGATAAACTCAGCTGAAATCCCACCGTGTGTCTGAAACAAGCTTCTGGGAGCCGGGGGCTGAGTCTGGGCAGCCGCCTGTGGCTTTGCCCCAAGCCACACACATGCGTTTGGCTGGCTGAGGCCCCCTCTCCTGGGCCTGAGGTCTGGGAGATTTCGTTCACTCACGTCTGAATGCCGCCCAGGGGAAACACGAGCCCCAGCATAGGCTGTCTTTCCTGACACCACTGATCTCGGGTTTCCCTGTTCTGAGGTGACCCCAGGATCACTGTAACCAGAAACCCCATGGGTTAAGGCTGGGCTGGTGGTGACGGAAGGGGGCAGGGCTCACCTTCACTGTCCCTTCCCACTGAGGCAATCAGCTGAGCTATAGCCAGGTGTGGGACGGCCCCCAGCTTACCGATGAATACTCACCCAAGTTATTGTGTGCTGGGGACATCGGATTCGGGGATAGGTTTGGAGAGCCTGCAAGGTGATACAGAGTTGTAAGATGTTGTTGGAGTATTCTACAGTCAAGACAGGATCCCTCACCATGCCATAAGGAAGCCCTGGACCAAACCTTAAGCAGCCCAGCCTTGACCTGGCCTCATACATTCCCCGCCACACATCTAGGCATGCTGCCCTCTCTGTGGAATGGGTGGATTGAGTAACCAGCCTTAGAGGGCCCCTCCAGCACAGGCCGTGGTGGGCTCGGCTAGGCCAGTGCACACACCTGTCCTCAGGGACGGCTGACTATCCTGAGGAAATGAAAGCATAAAGACACACATTCCAGTGCTTCCAAGCCCGGTACTGTGGAGGGGCAGCCTCTCTCTCTCCCTCCCACACTGCCCAACTCCACAGTCTAGCTCTAAGGTACCGGGATCACCTCAGGAAATTCACAGACCCAGCCTCAGAAATCCTGCAACTCAGAGACTGACTTGATACTTTGTGCAAGGCAGGATTCTGCCCAATTCACACACTCTGATCTTCTCTCTGCCCCGGCTACCAAGAAAAATCACACACGTGCACGCACACACACACACACACACACACACACACACACACACGTGTACACACATCAGTCTTCAAAGAAAGCCAGCGTCGGCCTTTCCACAGGGCCCCATCCTACCCTCCTTTGTTCCCGCGTGCCTTGGAGTGCAGTTACTTATTTATGAATGTCTTGCAGCCTGGCCCCACCCCCTGACATCCACCAGACCTTGAGGCTGAGCCCTGAAAGTGCCTTGAGCTGTCCCTGGGGCTCTTTGATTTCATCCCAACAGAAGAGCTCTGAACTCGGAGGGTAAAGACCAGGTCACGGGCTTTCTCTTCTCCCCTGTGGCAGCACCTGACCCCGTGGAGATAAGAAACAATTCTGGAGGCCATAATGGTGCTTGAAAAGCTTGCTACATAATAGCCATGGCTTTGGCTGTGGTTTTGGTAAAAATATATTACATTATGGGGCCTTAATTTTTCCCCTGGTGCAAAGAAGGGAATAATCATCTATTGAACTATATAAATTAAGTATAAGATGGTTACATTAAAAAAAAAAGATTAATGCCAGGATTGGCATCCAGGAAACCTTCAATAGTTGCTCCCTATTTTGCAGTAGCTCAAATCATGAAGGTCAAGGTTATTCTGAAAGGGCACATATGCTGCCAGGCAAGACCTGAGGGTGACTCTGGTGACCCTCAGACCAGAGACACCGCCACACCTCACCTGATGGAGAAGACAAGCCCGTTAGCAATTGGACTAGGAGCCAGACAGGCTACTTGGAGGAAAACCAAGGAACAAAGAGAGACCTTTGCCCATCCATGCCTACGTTATCTGGGTACACAAACCCTGGCCCCCCAGAGCTTTGCATGGAGAAAGAGAAAGAGAGAGATAGGAGAGGGGACACGGTATAATGGGACAGAAAGACAATGAAGGGCGCAAGCAGCTTGGAGCCAGTGAAAGCATGCCTGACTAGTCCTTCCCACATACAGACCTCTCTGATTATGTTTGTTTATAACGGTCATTCTACACACAGAGAAGGGGGGCGGGACTGAGGAGAAGCTCTGCAGCTGGAGGGAGGCTGCCTAGCTGGCTCACTGCCCGTAGCTGCAAGTTTGCAGTGGTCACTTGGCACTGAGTACAGGAAGGTCTCCCGTGCACTCAGCTGGGTCCATGCTGCCAGCCACAGGCCTAGATGGGTATGTCTGGGGGCATGCTTGACCTAAAAGCACAATACCCCCGCGACTATGCTTCTGCCGCATATGTAACCCTCTTCTACCCTCCTGTGGATTGTGTAAACTCTTGTGGTCTGTGCGTGAGGCAGCCCGCCATCATGGGAACATCTGCTCTCTCCCTCCTCACCCACCACACAATGCCAAGCAGGTCCCGTGTGGCAGCTGGGGCTCTGTTCAAGAAGCTGCTCGTTTGGAAGCAATTTGGTCCCGTAACATATGACACAGGAAACATCTGGGACCGCAGCAAGAGAAAACTAGGCCCAGTCCCTCCCAGCAGGGGCATGCCGATCTCATTTGGCCACTACATTTGAAAAAATAAATAAATAAATAACAGTTGCTTCTGGTGTCTTTGCTGGCCACCAGAAAGGGCTGTTCCTCCACGCAGGTTTTCCTCCCTGCTCACCTGCACTGCTCTAGGTGTGGGAGCCCTTCTCCCACCCTCTGCCAGCACCTCACCCACATGGCCAGGCTACACTGTCGGGAAAACAACTTTGTGCCCCTGTGGCACAGAGTATCTCCAGTGACGTACTAGGCACTCGAGGAGTGCTCTATAGACAGCAGGCAGGCAGGAAAGCAGGGGGGCAGAAGGGAGGGGCAAGTCACCACTACTGACCTGCATCCATGCTGTGGTTCATCTGGTGGTCACTAGTTTCTCCATCTTCACTCAGGTAGCCAGGGGGTGGGGTTTCTGGGGATCAGAAGGCAGGCAGTCCCATTAGAAGAAATGTAAGGCCTGGCCCTGGCGCTCCATTTGCTGGCCAATAAAGCATGCATTCACGCCACCGCTGGGTGCAGAGTGCCTAGAAGAAAGCTGGGCCTCAAGGGCAGGTGTCAGTTCCTGGACTCTGCCATGCTCAGGCCTTTTCCAGCGCTGCCCTCTGCCTCCCAACCTGGATCCTAACACACCGACTCCCAAATCTGAAATGCCTTGCTCTAGGACCACGGTTTAGCTGGCTTGTCCCCATCCTTCAAGGTCAGGTAAAGAAGGGAGGCTTTAGGACATGCCTACTTTACCATCTCTGTCCCCTGGGAGCTGTGGCCTTGAGGCTGTCCCTGTGCAAGCTGGCTGTTCCTGCCACTGTTGTCTCTAGGGGATGTGGCTTAACTCCCCAGTGAGGCTGCCGTTCAGCGGTGGCGCCCTCAATGATCCATTTCTCGGAACTCGACCTCACCTTCCCACCCTGCCTTAGCCCTCCAAGGTCTGCCATCTGATAGGGAGTGGACAGCTTAACCCCCCCCCCCCCCCCGCGGAGACTAGCACTACCTGCAAGGATCTGAGAAGCCAGACAGCTGGCCTCTGTGTGCATGCGTTCTGACCCAAGACACGGGCCACAGCTAACCTCAGCCCAGTAAGCCAACCCAGAGAGCGAAAGCCACATCCAAATTAGAACACTCTAAAAGGAACACAGCTGGATCGTTGCCCCAAAAGCAAAAAGTGGCCCTGACTGGCCCTAGCATGGCCAAGCACAGCTTTCCTGGATGCCCAGAGTGCCCGGCAGTGATTCACACATGATCTGCATGTAGATGAGGGGCTTCCAGAAATGCTGGCACCATGACAATGAGGGACGTTCTACTTACTGCCTCAACTCCCACTCTGCCCAGTCCGAAGCTCAGGGTACTTATAGGGCCCTCTGCTGCCTCATTCCACACTCTGCAGCCCGTACCCCTCAGGAACCCTGCCTGTATGCCAGCCTTGTGGGCTGGGAGGGAGAGCAGAGACACAGTGTTGCTATTTCCGCTTTCAAAATAAATGACGGCACCGGAGCCCTGCAGAAGGGTCACAGGGTCTCCCATGCCAAGAAAAACATCGTTAGGGGAGCTTGGGCCACCGATCGTTCCCGGTTGGGATATGGTTCATAATCAGGGCCCACGAGCCTGCTGTACGCTCGATGACGTGGAGAGGATGGGGAAATGGCGCCATCCCTGCCTCCTGGCTGCCTGTGCAGCCGCCAATGCCTACCTGGAATATTGCTTTGGGGCTCAATGCCAGCGGGGAAGTTAGTGTTCTCAGGGATGGAATGGCTGTAGTCATCCAGCGGGGGGAACTCGGCCGGGATCTCGGTGTGGCGTGGTACCAACACTGGAGGTAGAACTGTCCCCAAGGAAAACACAACAGAGGTGGGTCAGTGCCAGGACGCTGAAGTCCCAGTCCCCGAGGGCACCTTAGACCCTCCAGAGTTGGTAGGACGGGGAGGGCAAGGCCACACACACACACATACCTGGTGTCTCTACTCTCTGATAGTGGTAAGGATTTACGCACACTTCATCCTTCTTCATGTTGAAGGCGAACTCACACAGCTCCATGGCCCGTAACTCATGGTGGCTGTGCAGGTCAGGCCATCGCCACAGGCGGCAGTAGATGACGTGGGGGAGCCCCTTCCGATGGGACACCTGCAGCCGGCCATCCAGTGACCTGCCATGGCAAAGAAGGGACAGAAGGTGTCAGTGGTGGAGGCTTGGATTGCTGACTCCCATATCCGGCCCCCAACAGCTCCTGGGGTTCAAGTTTGCTGGCAGACACTCTCAAGTTCTTTCCTCCCCCACACAAAGGGGACCAGGAAATCAAAGCATCACAGCTAACTGTTCTTACTGGACATGTGCCCAGCTCCCAAAAGCAGCAAGGAGGCCCACCAAAGAAGGCCGAGGCTTCCCAGGCCAAAAGAAAGGCCTTGCATCCAGCAGTCCCCAGAATTCTCCCAGCAGCTCTCAAGGAAGGGAACCTGCCTGAGATACACTCAAGCAGGTACACATGCCACCAATCTTGCCCTTGTAGAGACGACCACTGGACAGGGTAGAGGCTGCATACAGAGGAGGTTAGGTGGCAGGCGGAACGAGTCTGACTGTTCCCCAGAAGCAGTAAATGGCCTCTGAGATGTTTACATGGGCTGTGTTCATGCACATGGATGAAAAAGGCAAATACTGTGATAAGTCTGACTGCGTGTGGCCCACAGGTTGCGGGGCGGGGGGAGGCTAGAGTAATGGAGGTAGGACTGCCTCTTCCATAAGAAGGCTTGTCCTAGGAGCTCCAGGTTAGGGGCATGATGCTTCTAGTAGCTGAGTCAAGCCAGCAGAGGGCCACTGCAAACTGACCCAACAGATTTTATGATGCTTTATAAGAGAGGGGGCTGGGTAGACGTGCCAACCAGAACCAAACAGGGTCCAACCAATCTCCAAGGCACTGGCCTGAAATGGGGAGGGACAAAGGTCAGTGCTGGGCTTGGTCACAGGGACTGGCCGAGAGCTGCTGACTAAGGGCCTGTAGAAGGATGTAATTACCTCCCCACCCCCCTGAGGCCCAGACCACATAGCCCCTGCAGCTGAAAACAGTAATTACTGAGCCGAACAAGAGAGGACAGCCTGAGACTAGTCCTTGAGGCACAGAAGGAAGTCAGCCGATGTGCAGCCAGAAGATCTGGAGATGTGGCTCACGCTCCTGACTCTGCAACCCTGGGCACCAGGACTCTCAACTACTGCATCTGTTACGATGGGGACAGTCTCCCCCTTGCCTGATCTCTACTAGAAACTGCTTTACAAAGCTCCAGCCCATGGTGAGCATTCCTCTCAGTCACTGGTGACTGTGGTCATTCTCTAAGCCAGCCCTAGGCAAAGCGGCTGAGCTGTGGGGTTGACAACGAGAAAGGGTGAGGGGAAAGTGGAGACATAAAATCAATCCTTCAGCTCTCCTCACTTTCTTTCAAAGCTACTGAATTCCCCAAAGATAAGGGAAGAGGCCACACTGACTCTTCAGGGTATGACAAAGGCCCTAGCACAGGACTGGCTGGATGCTGAGGTCACCTCTCTGGTGGGAAAGACGAGGACAGGAGAGAAGTGGCAGAAGAAGGACCATGCCAGCCGTGAGGAAGAATGGACCCGACAGGCCCACCTGGATGGTGGAAGGGGTATCCTCTTGCTTTAAAAGTAACAAAGAGAGCTAGGGAGATGGCCAGCCAGCTGTGTCACAGGCGCGAGAACCTGCGTCCAGTCCTTGGAGCTCAAGGAAAAACAGCTGGCTATGGTAGCGCACTGAGGAGGCAGAAACAGCCACATCGCGAGAGTCTGGTGACCACCCTGCCTCACCTTCCTGATGAGACCCAGGCCAGTGTGACCCTGTCTCAAAAAATAAAAACAAAGTGGACAGCAGCCAGACTTGTCTTCTGACCTCCACAGTCATACACAAACATGTGCATAGGTACTGCACACATCAGCATACCTGCACACACAAACCCACACAAATACATGCATACATGCATAGAAAATATAGTTCCAAAAAGCAAGAATGCTACCCTCATCAAAGCAACGTGGCAATGCACTCAAAACTGACCAGCATACCCATGGGACCCAAGAAAGGCCATACACAGTCACATATACATGAAGGCCGACTTTCAACGAAGGGCCAAAGACACACCAGCTGGGAGAGGTGGACCTTTCAGTAGGCGGTGCTGGACCTACTGGAGAGCCACACCAAGAAAAGTGAACTTCAACCTACACCTTACACCTCTGTAGGAATGGAAGGTCAAAGTACAAAACTTAAAACTACAAAAAAAAAAAAAAAAAAAAACCTCAAAACTACAAAACATCAAGTCAATATAGCCAGATGGTTGTGACATACATCTTTAATACCAGCACTCAGGAGGCAGAGGCAGGTGACCTCTGTGAGTTCAAGACCTGGTCTACAGGGCGAGTTCCAGGACAGCTAGAGCTGTTACACAGAGAAACTGTCTTGAAAAACCAAAAAAAATTCAAACAACAAAAAAGTCAAGACAAACTTTGTAAGATCTCTGTGACTTGAACAATAACTTCTCGGTTACTACACCAAAAACACAATCCATTAAAAATCCAAGTTCATATATCGATACATAGGAAATCAGGGTAGAGGCTCCTGATCTGTAGACTTAAACAAAAGTAACAGGTGACATTGGCAAAGACTAAATCTCACAGAGCTTCCGTTTCCAGGGTAAAAAAATGCCAAAACAACCGAATCTGGAATTAGCAGGTGAATCACCAAGACAGATGCTAGTCTGAGAATTTAAAGAAGATGTTCTATTTCATCACTAACTACAAAAGTACAGGGGGGAGGGGACTAAAACTATAAATCTGTACAGTGGATTAAAACGACCAAGGGACTCTCCGGCTGGCTCAGCAGCTGAGAGCACTTGCCATTCTTTGCGGAGGTCCTGGGTTTGATTCCCAGCACTCACGCAGAGGTTCACAACCACCCATAATTCTAGTTCCCAAGGGTGGTATGCCTTTTTCTTGGGCCATGGAGCACACCATCATACATAGACATGCGTGCAGGCAAAATCCCACACACGTGAAATAAAATAACTACATATGATGAGATGCCACAGTACAACTATCGGAACAGCTATAATTAAAAGGACTGTGTGTGCCTCTTGGTGGCAACGGTGTGGAGCAATCGGAACTCGTATAGGGAAACAGTGATACAGTGGCTCTGACCGTTGGGGAGTTTGCTTCAAAGTCCAACGTAGAAACCTACTATACTAGTTTCTTTTTCAGTTGCTGTGATTAAATAATCTGACATAAATTGTGATGGTCTGTCTAACGGTCAGTTTGACAAATGTAGAGTCCCCTGGGAGATGGGTCTCTGTGTATGCCTGTCACAGGGGGATTATCCTGACTGGGTTAACTGAGACGGGAGACCAGCCCGCTAAGGGTGGCACCATTCTCTGGGATGGGATCCTGGACTACTGAGAAGGAAAATGTGAGCGGGGAACAATCTTTATCTCTGTTTTCTTCCTGACCGCGTCTGCACTATGCCCAGCTGCCTCAAGTGCCCGCCTCCTTGACTTCCCACCGCGATGGTCTGCACCCCACTCCTGGTGCCAGCTTTTGTCTTAGCTAATTAGTGGCTGTAATAAAGTACCTTGACAAAAGCATCCTAAGGAACAAATAGCCTCTTTTGGCTTCCGGAGACCTACAACCCCTTCACTGCAGAAGAGAAGACAAAGCAACGGGAGCCCGAGGTCAGGTGGTCATACTGTATCTGTAACTCAGGAAGCAGAGTGAACAGGAAGTGGGGCTAGGCTATAGGGCCTCAAAACCTACCTCTAGGGACTGACTTCCTCCAGTGGGACTCTCCCTCCTAAAGGTTCCATATCCTTCCAGTGCTGTCAAAGCCTGAGACCAAGCGTTCAGACAGGTGAGCCTACAGAGTATATTTCATACTCAAGCCACAACACCTACCATAGGATCTACCTATTCTTCTTCTACGCATTCCCCCAAAGAGAAACAAAGCAGTATGCCCACAAATGTACGGACACCTAAGTACTTTGCTACGTCCACAAAGAGGATGACTGACAATATTGGCCTCTGGAGCAATGCATGGATGGATCAAGGTCATGAGTGAAAGGAACTGGGTCGTTCTGTGTATGTAAAATTGTTATTGCTTGGTTTTTTATTTTGACACAGCTGTCACTCTAGCTTTGGTGATGGCAGATACGGTATAGTCCCCGGGCCAGTTCAAACTTGTATGATCCTCTCGCCTCAACTTCCTAAGTGCTTGAACTACAGCCATGCATCACCACCATGCCCAGCAAGCTATGCCTGGGAAGGTGAGGCATGCATGCAGAGATGGGAGGGATGGAGTTAGCAAGGGAGACCTTGGCTGGATACAGGCTCTATTTGTTATCTTGACTGTGGTGGTATTATGGACAGACACATGCTGAAATTTACCAAACAGCACACTTTGGGTATGCACAGTTTATTTGTAAGTTATACCACAATTCCAAGGGGAGGAGGGCAAAGAAGACTTTGGACTTGCCTAAGCCTGGATTTGCCATTTCTGTGTCCAGCAACTCTATAAATTTGAGCAAACCGTTTAGAACCTCAGCCTTCGTATTTTGTCTGAACTAGAAGTACCATTGACAGCCTCTTGAGAGGCCTGGGTGACACTCCATGCAGCCCTGGTGCTGTGAGAACACATCAGACATCAGCAGCTTGCCACATTAGCACAGAGGCTCCACACTGCCTCACTCCCGTGCATGATGCTAGGCTAAGGAAGGAGCCTAGCTGCTCAGAAGTCAGTCCTTCCTGGCTTGGGTGATCCAGGAGCGTAACAGGAGCAGCCACCATGGGACTTCCTGTCTCCCTGGTGCCCGTTCCTGGTTCATCTTAGGTGGTCTCCACCAGCACCATGCTGTATGGTTCATAAAGCAAGTCTCCAATGCTCCTGGCTCATTAAATCCAACCCCTTAGCAAAGGTGGGGCCCTAGAGCCACGCAGTCTGTACCAGGGCTGCAGCCAGAGGCCAGCTCTCCTAACTGCAAGGCTCCTGAGCACATGACCACCTGACCAGACTTTCAAGAAGTCATCTGGTCCACGTCCCTGCTTCGAAGCCATAAAATCATACATACACACACACACACACACACACACACACCCCAAGATGACAAA